ATGTGTGTGTGTGTGTGTGTGTGTGTGTGTGTGTGTGTATGGAGGCATGTCCATGTGAGAGAAGATGCCTATAGAAACTGGAAGAGAATGACAGATCTCTTAAAGCTGGAGTTCCAGGAATCACTGAACCACCTGACTTTGATGCTGAGAACCAACCTCAGGTTCTTGTAAGAGCAGCATGGACTCTTATCAGATGAATCAGCTCTCCAGCCCCATAAATATATTAGTGCATTTTCTGTCTAGCCAGAGTGTCTATACTTAACACTGCCTATTCTTTGAATTATCATAATATAACACTACTGAAGAACAATGGAATGTTTCATACAGAAGCATCAGATGGTTCTGTACTTTTCTATAGAGATGCTGGATAGTGAAAACATTTTATTGAATTCATATTCATTAATAGGGCCTTTTAAATGCTATTAGAAAGACTTTTCATTAGATAACCTAGAAAAGAATCCTTTTTTGCTGATATTTGGCCTCTGATACACAAATCTGAAGTTTTTGTGGTAGGGCAAAATTATCTTGTGTGTATCAGGAGGTATATAGCAAAATAGGTTTCAAATTGAGCTCTCATTTTTCATTTTCACTGGCCATGAAATTCTGTTTGATCATTGCGGTTTTTGTTGGCATAAGTGTGCACATCTCAATGAGTATTTAGGGGTGAATATGCACATGTGTGCACATGTAGGCCAGAGGTAATTTTTGACTATCATTTCTCAGGAAACCACCCATCCACCTTGTTTCTTTGAGGTCTTGTCATTTCCCTGGAACATGCCAATCAGTATAAGTAGGCTACAAGACAGTGAGCCTCAGAGATCCTTCTTTCTCTGCCTTCCCAGTGCTGGAATGACAAGCATGTACCATCTTGCCCAGCATTTTTACTTGAATTTTGGAGATGGAACACAGGTCCTCTTTCTTGCGCAGTCAGTAGTTTAACAAGTGAGCTATTTTCCCAACACCCACTCTGCTTTCTCTATTCTCTGTCACTTTTTCAAGATAAGAGTCATGCAACCCACTTAGTCAACAAGACTCTCAGTGAAAGGCATTTTAATTAAATACTTTAGTTGTCACACAGCTATATAATGTATTTGGATCCAATCAATCTTCTACTCCCTCCCTTTCAATTCCTCCCCTATCTCATATCTACCACTCTCTTGCAACTTCACTCAGATTCATTCATTGGTGTCTCTGTCTCCCATCAAAGGGATGATACCTTCCTCTCCCATCTCTCCCTTATTACATAGCAGTACAGTTAGTACTATCTGTATGCATATGGCTATAGGAAGATCTGATGGATCATGGGTAGCCTCTCAGGGCCCACATCCATGATGAAAAACGACTGTCCATCTCCGTGTAGCCTTCTACTGCCAATAACTTATCAGATATGGATGAGACTTCAGTCAGTACTGGGACTGAAGGTAGTTTGATCTTATGTCAGTCATGTGTATACAATATGCAGGCCCCATAGTTCCCAGAAGACACATTCTGCTTCGTGTCCCCTCTTCAGTTATATTACTGTTTTTTATTTGACTTAAATACATCTTTATGTTAACTTTCACCCTGTTTTGAAAAGGTTAGTAAGAATTTTTTTCTGTTGCTTACTACAAAGGCTCTCTAAAACAGGGTAAGACCCACTAAGCTAACTGGAGTTCTGCAAACAGAAAGCCAGTGGTTGACAGGTATTATCAAGGTTCACCAGCAAGTCTTTATTTCCTAGGTCTACCAGATTCTTCTGAGTATTATTTCAGCTGTTCTTAAAACTTCTTTTGATCTTAACAACTTATTGCATCCTGCACAGAGGAAATTGAGTGAGCAAGTATTGATGTTCTCCCTAGTTATAATTAGTGACTTTGGTTTTAAAGAATTTTTATCCAGTGAGCAATAGCAATCAGGAACAAGAGAGTCCCCTCCAGAATCCACACTTGTTCTGTTACCTTCTCCTGGCTTTTCAAAATGTTCCTGAAATTTGTACCAAAAAATAAACCCCCATATGAGAGACAAATAAAAAAAACTACTATATGTCAAATTGGAAATAACAGTGAAAATGAACACATATAACAGTGTCTTCCTCATGCTCTTAGTCAAAGAGGTTCAGAAATAAACAAGAAATTTCCCTACCAGTGCTCACATTTTCCTGTGATTTCATTTGCAATTGTGTTCTCTCCTGAAAAAACGAATGACATAAAATAAACAACTATGTTCTTTGCAAAGTGATTGACTCCATGTTCATGGACAGGAAAAATTCAACATAGACTTAGAAAACACTATTATTCACAGGCTGCAAGGATTATTTTCAGGGTGCCTGAAGGGTGTTAAGTAATATAAAAAAGACAAAGGGCCCACATGAAAGCCACTCTTGCTGGCTGAACTGTGAACATGCTAAATTAATAATAGCAATGCGAAAAAAAAAGTCTCATAGCTAATGCAAATCAATTCAATCTTGAAAAGCCATGATTTCACAGAGATCTCTAAAAGTGAAATTTTAAGGTTATTTGTTATATTTATTTCAGCATGAAAATAGGAAAGTGTCCCTGTGTGTGCATAAACCGTCTTCTTTTAATTATGTATTTGTTTATAAATGGCTAATATGTGCTTGGAATAAGCAGAGAAGGATGAATTGTGGGAGTGGGATGTGTATGAGAATAATCCCGGATAGTTGAGTGCTAATAGCAAGAACAGAAAGGGGAAGAATATCAGCTCCAAGGTCATTTGAAGTCAATGTGCAAAAGCAAAGTTTGAGTGTGTCTCAAGCTAGCGAACTGTCTACACATTGTACAGAGGAAGGGAAATCAAGGAGTCGACCCTATACCCAGGTAAAGAGGCAACTGTTTTTTTAAACTTTTGCTTTGGAGAAGGTATTGGACAGAACTTGTTTTAAAGATTTTATTTTTTTATGGGTGTGGATATATGGTAAGTACTGTGTGTGTGTGTGTGTGTGTGTGTGTGTGTGTGTGTGTGTGTGTGTGGCACTAGTGCCTGTGAAGGCTGGAAAAGGCTGCTCCTGGACTCCATGGAGCTGGAGTTACAGGTGATTGTCGGCTTAATAATAACTGTGATGGCAATCAACCTCAGGTCCTCCATACAAGCAGCAAGTAACCTTAACTTTTGGGGCATCATTTCAGCCCCAAGGATTTTTTGTTTTTTGTCTTTCTTTTTCTTTCTTTCTTTCTTTCTTTCTTTCTTTCTTTCTTTCTTTCTTTCTTTCTTTATTTCTGTCTGTCTGTCTGTCTGTCTGTCTGTCTTTCTTTCTTCCTTCCTTTCTTCCTCTCTTTTCCCTTTCTGTCTGCCTTTCTTTCTCATTCCTTACCTTCTTTCCTTTCTTTCTTTCCTTTTTTGTTTCTTCCTTTCTTCCCTTTTCTTCCTTCCTTCCATCTTTCCTTTCTTTCTAATCCCTTTCTTCCATTCTTCCCTTCTTTTCTCCCCTTCCCCTCCCTCCCTTCTTTCTTTCTTTCTCTCTTTTTTATTTCTTTCATCCTTCATTTTCCTTTCTTTCTTTGACACAGGGTCTCAGTTAGTTTAGGATGGCTTCTTCAAACTCTTTAACTGAGGATGATCTAGATTCCCAACCACCCTGTCTCTACTTCTGATATGCTGAAATCACAGATGTGTACCATATACCAGGAAAGAGGAAACTAACTTTAAAGACCTACTTTAGCTCACTATGTCTGCACATGACATCATTTTTTATGTAGATATCTCTAAGAATGGAAAACACAGTGAGTTATACTACAGTCATCAAATCCACAAAGCACCATGTTCATAATTTTCAGAGAACAGTTAGCTCAGAACTCTAAGGGAATATGGCTCAGTCACTAAAGTGCTTACCACTAAAGTGTGAGGAACTGAACTCTGATCCCAGGCAAAAAGCAGGACAGTGGAGAGTGGCGGCAACTGTAATTCTAGTTCTGACATGGCTGAGATTGGAGGAAGCCTGAGCTTTGCTGGGCAGTTTGGTGTTTTTTGGTTTGTTTGTTTGCTTGTTTTCTGAACTTGTGAGGTACAGACTCACTGAGAGTATCAGAAATGAGATGGAGAATGATCGACACCAGATTTCAAACTCTGTCCTCTAAGTGAATGTGTATGTATAAAACCTGAAATATAGAATGAACTTGTTAAAGCTAGTTTTTAACATGCATGGAGAATCTTACCAAACAAATTACTGTCTGAAAAATGAAGTCTACATGTGAACACAAAGTTTAAAGTAATGATTAATGCTAACGTTGAAGTTGCCTCTGGGACTCAGTCATGTCTAATGACCCAACACAAATATCCATTGTTTCCCAATGCAGAGCCGATGATCACTGCCAACTTGAGAATTTATCGTGCTATGGATCTGTGAGGATGCATTCACTAAGCCTTGAAAGGTACAAAGCAGAAGTTATTGTAAATTTTGACATGTGTAAGACTGAATAGGAATTTCTGATGATTTCAGTGTTGAGATTTCTTTCAAAATAGCTTTAAACTTTGAAGTTTTTTTTTGTCTGACGTGAATGAAATATTGATACACACAGACACAGACATACACACACACCCACTCACATTACACTTGTTCACCTCAAAGGGGCTAAGAGATAATTTACTTTGTAGCCACAAAGGATTAACCATTGCCTAGGAAACCAGATTCAGTTTTATTCAGATATCATGCTTCACTTTGAATGCCATTACCTTAAATCTTATTAGTTACAGAACAAAGACCCATCCTACCAAACGCATTGGTCACAGCCGTCGCTAGGTGGGTCACAGCAAAACAGGGAAACCATGTTATGGATTTCAGATACTATCTGATGACATTTATAGCTTTGGAACTGACAGAAGTCAGTTGTTAAGAGTGCATTTGGAAGGTTCTGATTATCACAGGGATGTTAGGTTAAATATATGAGTGATCTATGTTAACTTTCAAGGTATTAAATAGTTTGAGATAATTTCACTCTGGTCTGCAGCATTCTATCTCTCCCTAAAGCACTGAATTCAATCCGTTGTTCTTCTGGAATATTTAGCACAGGTATAGCTCTCTTTATTTATCTGAGGACTTCAGTTTACAGACTCTGGGAAATTGCCACTCCATCTTAGCAAGCAAATTAAAAAGCTGAGAAGACTGCAGCATCCACATGTCTTCTTATACCTGTAAGAAAAATGAAGTAATGAGACAAATTGCCACCCTCAGCACTGGAAAAACAGAGAGTCACAGAGAAACATGGCACATCTGAAATTCCAATCGTATAGAAATGAGGATGGATTTCAGCTAGTGGAGCCCTCACCTGACATACAGGAAGCCTTGGAATAAATCCCCAGCACTGCATAAAAGTAGACAGCACCTCAAGAATAGCAGCTATCTTAAAGCCAGTCCTGAGGAAGGAGAACATAATAGTAATGGAATGGCTAAAGGCACCACGTGGACAGGGGGAGAGAGAAAATCGAATACAGGACACTCAGAGGAACTGCCCTCATGACTGTGTGGGCTTTATCTGGGTAGCCCTGACGAGCTTCTCAGAGTAGAGATAGAAGACAAACTTTATTTACATCAGCATAGGTAGATGTGATGGAATGATTCTGAATCAAACCGACTCTGTGTTCTTAAAAAATCCACATTAGGGAGAAACTGAGGCAGGTTAGTTAACATGGAACAAGGAAACCCAAGGTTGCCTGAAGGTTCACACAATAGCACAGCTGTTTTATAAGAATGGTGCTGTATCTCTTCAATGGGGACAACAGAACTACCCAATACCGTGGAAAATAGGAGCAATGGGCAGAGTTTCTAAATGCGCTTTGTTTCATAGTTATGGAACTTCCTTATCATTAGTCTTGTGAAATTGACTGTTCCCATGAGGCATCTGATAAAACTTGGCACATCTGAAATTGCAATATACATCAATTAGGACTGAGGATGGAATTCAGTTAGTAGAGCACTGGCCTCACACACAGAAAGCCTTGGTTTTATATCCCCACCACTGCATAAACAGAATGATAGGGAGATATACACCATAATTCTAGCATTTTGGAGGTGAAAGGGAAAAGATAAGAAGTTCAAAGTTATCTTGGCTAGGTAGGAACTTTAGGGCATCCTAACCATATTGGCTATAAACAACCCCAAATGGGAGCGCAGAATTTAATATAAGGGCAGAGAGTAGGAGATGATTCTATTACATATGCTACCTTTGCTCATGAATGAATGAGTGGCACTTCCTTTCATTAAAGCATTGACAGTAAAATATAGTGATCCAAGAGTTAGTAGAAACAGACTACTCTGAGAACTTTGTTCCTCCACCCCAGCTGTCATGTTTACTTTCATGCCATAAAACATCATTTCAATACTTTAATTCTCCTGGTGTCTGAATTCTTTCCCTGGCAGTGAAAAAAAAAAAAACCTGAGACCTACATCCAATTCTTCTTAGAATTCCACACACTTTGCTACAAGATTTTCACCTGCTGGTTTCCATAAGAGCCTAACCTGTCCAGGTGGTGGAAATATCCACCTTTAGCCATACTGACTGTATGTCCCACCCAAGTGTGGGGACTGCATACCACATGGTATATGCAGCCTAGAGGTCCAGCCTTCCTAATGCACTCAGACTCTGGCACCTACTCATAGGCCAAGGGCAGCCCATCACAAAAATCATAAAATTACTAAAGACACAGGGCATTGACTTATGGTTTTTATGTTTTTATTCTATTTGTAACACAGTGGCACAGTTCTTGAATTTTAACTTCAAAGAAAACAACATCATATCACAAGATCAAAAGGTTGAACAGAAGCAGAAAGATGACTCATCAGGTAGAGAAGCTTGTACACAAACCTGCCTGCCTCTAAGCTGAATCTCCAGAACTCATGTATAGATGGAAGGAGGGAAGAGACTCTGCGAAACTGTCTTCTGATGCCCACAAATGCAACATAGTGCTCATGCACAAATCTAGAATTCCTTCCGTAAGGAGAAATGTGGGGTAGGGGAAGAAACATAAGAAACATTCAATATCCAGTCTGAGGAATATTATGCACGAAATAATCTATAGTAATTTTGGTCATCATCGTCATAATAATAAATTGTAGAAAACTGGGAACATGACTCAGTAGAAAAGATAAGATTCTGCTCTTACAGAAAACCCAAGTTCAGTTCCCATCCTCCCAATTTTTTATTAGATTTTTTTTTAAAAAAATACCAATCTCAATTCCAACTCTCTCCTCTCCTCCTATTCCCTCCACACACCCTCCTACCCCACCCCCATCTAATCCTATGAGAGGGTAAGGCACTTTGTTTGTGGAAGGTCCAAGGCCTTCCCTACTACATCTAGGCTGAGCAAAGGTTACATCCAAAGATAATAGAATCCTAAAAAGCCAGTACATGCAGTAGAGATGAATTCCAGTGCCACTGTCAGAGGCCCCTCACTCTGCCCCAGCCATATAACTGTCACCCACATTCAGAGGAACTAGTTTGGTTCTATGATTGTTCCTTCCCAGTCCAGCTCGAATTGTTGAGCTCCCATTAGCCCAGGTAAACTGGTTCGGTGGATGAAGCCTTCATGGTCTTGACCTCTTTGCTCATAGTGAGCATCAAAAGTTCCCTAGTCTAGTTCTCATTTCTTCTACTCTTCAACTGGACTTTGAGAGCTCAGTCCAAAGCTCTGATGTGGGTCTCTGCTTCTGTTTCCATCTGTTGTTGGACAAAGGTTCAATGATGATATTTAAAATAATCACCAGTCTGAATACAGGGCAAAACCAGTTCGTGCACCCTCTCTCTTAGGGTTTTATTAGGCAGCTAAGACTGCCTAGAATTTCAGCTGCAGGAGATCTAATTTAGTTACATTTCTTTGTTGTGAAAAACTATGACCAAGTAAACCTATTTTTTAAGAGTTTCTTTGGAACCCTCAGTTTCAGAGGGTTAGACTTTATGGCCATCATAGTAGGGAGCATGGCAGCTGGCAGACATGATGATGGAACAATAGGTGAGAACTTAAATATGATCCATAGCAAGAGGCAGGGGAAGCTAAATGGAAATGGCATGGTCTTTTAAACTTCAAAACCTACCCCCAGAGTAATAACCTCCTCCAACAAGCCCACACCTTTTAATCCTTTGTGAGCAGTTTTCTATGGAAACCATTGTCATCAAATCACCACAGACTCTAACAGTCTCTTCTGGCCAGTTTGATCATCTACATACACAAGCACATATGTCCATAATAAACATACAAACACACACACACACACACACACACACACACACACACACACACACATATATATATATATATATATATATATTTAAATATAAAATGAAATCTTTTTTTAGATATTTAGAGGATGTTTTTTATTTATTTATTAAAAATTTCCACCTCCTCACCACCTCTCTTTTCTCTCCCTCTCCCTACCTCCTCCTCCCTCTCCAGTCCTAAGAGCAGTCAGGGTTCCCTGCCCGGTGGAAAGTCCAAGGTCCTCCCCGCACCATCCAGGTCTATTAAAGTGAGTGTCCAAACAAACCAGGCTCCCACAAAGTCAGTCCATGCAGTAGAATAAAAACCCAGTGCCATTGTCCTTAACTTCTCAGTCAGCCTTCATTGCCAGTCAGATTCAGAGTGTCCAGTTTGATCACATGCTCCATCAGTTCCAGTCCAGCTGGCCTTGGTGAGCTCCCATTAAATTAGTCCCACCGTCTCAGTGGGTGGATGCACCCCTTGTGGTCCTGACATCCTTGCTCATGTTCTCTCTCCTTCTGCTCCTTATTTCGACCTTGGGAGCTAAGTCCACTGCTCCAATGTGGGTCTCTGTCTCTATCTTCATCCATTGCCAGATGATGGTTCTATGGTGGTATGAAAGATATTCATCAGTGTGGCTATGGGACAAGGCCAGTTTAGGCACCTTCTCCTCTGTTGCCCAAGGAACAATCTGGGGATCTCTTCTTGGACCTGGGAACCCTCTAGAGTCAAGTCCCTTGCAAACTCTAAAACGGTTCCCTTAATTAAGATATTTACTTCCCTGCTCCCATATCCACCCTTACTCCATCCCACCCATCCCATTCCCCCAAGCTTTCCCCAATCCTCCCCTTCTCCCATCTCTCTACCAATCTCCCCTTACATCTGCCTCCACACCCACATGCACCCAAGTTTCACCTGGCAATCTTGTCTACTTCCAATATCCAGGATGATAACTATATGATTTTCTTTGGGTTCACCTTCTTATTTAGCTTCTCTAGGATCCTGTATTATAGGCTCAATGTCCTTTAATTATGGCTAGAATCCACTTATGCGTGAGTACATACCATATTCCTCTATTTGGGTCTGGGTTACCTCAGTCAGTAAAGTATTTTCAATTTCCATCAATTTGCATCCAAAATGCAAGATGTCATTGTTTTTTACTGCTGAGTCAAACTCCAATGTGTATATGTTCCACACCTTCTTTAACCGTTCTTCTATTGAGGGGCACCTAGGTTGTTTCCAGGTTCTGGCTATTACAAATAGTGCTGCTATGAACATAGTTGAACAAATGCTTTTGTAGTATGATAGGGCATCTCTTGGGTATATTCCCAAAAGTGGAATTGCTGGGTTCTGAGATAGGTTCACTCCCAGTTTCCTGAGAAACTTCCACACTGATTTCCAAAGTGGCTGCACAAATTTCCATTCCTACTAACAATGGATGGGTGTTCCCCTTACTCCACATCCTCTCCAGCTTAGGCTTTCATTGGTGTTTTTGATTTGAGCTATTCTGACAGATGTAAGATGGTATCTCAAAGTTGTTTGGGTTTGCATTTCCCTGATCGCTAAGGAGGTTGAGCATGATCTTAAGTGTCTTTTGGCCATTCAAACTTCTTCTGTTGACAATTCTCTGTTCAGTTCAGCACCCCATTTTTCAATTGGGTTAATTAGAGTTTTAGTGTCTAGTTTCTTGAGTTCTTTGTATATTTTAGAGATCAGACCTTTGTCTGATGAGGGGTTGGTGAAGATCTTCTCCCAATCAGTAGCTTGCCTTTTTGTCTTAATGACAGTGTCCTTTGCTTTATAGAAGCTTCTCAGTTTCAGGAGGTCCCATTTATTCATTGTTGCTCTTATTGTCTGTGCTACTGGGGTTCTACCTAGGAAGTGGTCTCCTGTGCCCATGTCTTGTAGACTACTTCCCACTCTTTCTCTTCTATCAGG